ATATGCCTGTTCTGCTCCCCACTCTGTCTCTGGTGAAGCCTCTCACCGCCCCGAGCCTCTGGCCTGTACCCCAGTTCTGTATGCATAAATAAATAAATCTTTAAAAAAAAAAATTTTAACTGCCAACTTTGTCTTTTCTTAAGCCTCATGAATATTGAAAGGGTACCTTAATTTTCTCTTGTTATGATAAAAATTGGCCACACTTTTTCTTTGACTGTCTTATAAAAGAAGTATTTTCAAATTAATTTTTTCAAACTATTTTCAGTGCTAAGAATAACTCACCCAAGTGAGTCTACTTCCTTAATATGAGCTTCTTTAATAAACTAACAGGTATTGGTTTCATACTAGCTACTATGTTCATTAAATATTCATACTTATAAACTAAAGTTTCTTTTGGCTTGTTATTCTTTAAAAATTACTAGAATGATTTCTTCTAATTTGGGGGACTACATGGCCACATGCCAACTGGAGGTTATATGACATAATGTTAAACAAGGCCAGACACAAAAAGGTAAATACTATATGATTCCATTTATATGAAAGTTTGAAATAATAGGTGAAAATCATCTTTGATGATAGGGGACAGAATAATGGCTATTTTGGGGCGTTAACAATGAGCAGGGGCTGGGGAAAGGTATAAGAAAACCTTCTAAGATGCTGGAAATGGCCTATATATCGTCCTGGATGATGGTTATGTGGATACATACATAGTAAAAAATTCCTCAAGCTGTATAATTATTTTACATGTTACTACATGTAAATTATACCTCAATTTAAAAAATTAAATACAAACAGAAAGGCCCTCCCTGCTAGTGCAAGCGTTTAAACACAGCACTGCTAAGCTAGTCACAGCAGCTTCAGCTCAAGTTTCTTCCCTGGGAAGGTGACCCATGTAGTGCAACAGACCTCTCCTTTCTCCCCCACTGCTCCCCTCAGCAGTGTATTTCAGTACCTCTGCCTGTTCTGCTCCCCCACTCTGCCTCTGGTGAAGCCTCTTAGCACCCCTGACCTTTGGCCTGTAACCCAGTTACAGTATGCATAAATAAATTAATCCTTAAAAAACAATAATAAAAACAAAGAAAAGAAGCACAACTTAAACCCCAGACTGTGTGGAGTACACAAGTTGGTGGCTGGTAGGAGAGATGGGGAAAGGAAAACCAAGAAAGACGAGACGGGAGGCAGCCCAGGCTGGATTACCTCTGGCATCCAACTGCCTGGGACAACAGTAAGGAAGAGGAAAACAGACTTTCCTGTGTTTTAGACCAGAGTTAGTACTTCGATTCGATGAAAGAGTTACTGATTCCCTTTTAATGTCCAAGCATACCCCAGCAAATTAAAACGTAGGTTTGAACACGAGGACCTTCAAGCTGGCACTCTTTTTTTTTCCAGAAACAATGCTACAGAGACTTATGTCATCCAAATTCTCACTGATGAAACCAGCCAGAGGCAGAGAAGACTGGCAATAGTTTACCTTTGATTTTACCTGGTAAAATTTACCAACTGCTAACTGTCATATGGTCCCATTAATGTAAAACTGTACTTCTATATCTCAAAAAGACAATTTTAAATATGACTCTGGAGAAAAAAGAACCACAGGAGCTCTATGCCAAAAGATCTAGATTAAAATCTTTTTAATAATATCTAAACTGTGATTTAGTTAAGTAACTTAAGTTTTACACCAACTGCTTAACCTTTCCCATCAATTTCTTCCTCTGCAAAATTGAATTAACATGCAACTCTTCCAAAGGTTTGGTAAGCAGATTCGTGCAGTATCTGGACACCAGAAGCAATTAATAAATGTTATCAAAGAATGTTATCTGGAAACTGTTCACCAAAGTCATATATAGACAGCAGGACTTCATTGGATATATATTTTATTCGTTATATTTTCTGCAATGCTTGAATTTTGTCTACCCTAAGCAAATGCAATTTTTACAAAAGCCATAATAAAATTGTTAAAATTTACCTTCTGAATTCAAGAGTTTTGGTTTCATCTTTCCAGTACCATATCCCTAATCGTAATCCCAAATGCTGTGAAATGAAATGATTGCAGCAAAAGTAATTAAAAGTGCAATTTACAATCCACAATTCACAATACATTTTGAACAATAATTCCCACTGGCCATTCTTTATTCAATAAAGATGTAATCTTGGTGCCTTCCTGGTGGGGCAGGAGTTAAATTCTCAGTGCTATCGAGAGCTATGGACAGCCACTGACTGCAGCAGGAGTTCTAACTGGCCAGAGAGCTGACCACAGGGCACAGCAGACCTCTCCTGACCACCTGCTGCTCCCCTAATTCCTGTATGCATAAATAAATAAATCCTAAAAAAATGAAGATATAATCTTAAAGCATTCTTTTCATGCGTAATCAGAATTTTACACCTTTTGACTATTTCCTGGTGCAGTTTCAGTAGAAGGGATGAAGGAAACCACATCCTCTGCACTAACTCAGGGCTCCTCATAGTAATTTACTGATTTATTGGACTCAGCACAATAAACCCAAGCCAGGGTGACCTCAACGTTTTAGAGAAGTCAGGCCCTCAGAACAGGAGGAGGCAGCTCTGACGCCGACCCCGCCCTCCAGGAAAGTCAGTAAAACCCCAAGTTTACCCCTTTCCCTCCGTAGTGGACACCCCACCTCACCAGCCTTTGGCGTTCCGGGGTCCCACCCAGATGGGGATGGCTTCCTCCACAGTAGAATTATTTCTGTTGCATCCAAACACTTAAGAGGTGGTGAAGCGATGCTTTAATAAATACTTAAGTATCTGCGTAGGAAGCCAGAATTCAATAATGACCGCTCTCCAAGTACACTCTATAGTTTTTCCCAGGCAACCATGCCGCCTTCTCTCTGAGCGCCGCTCTCCCCAGGACGCAGAGGGGGCCCGCAGGTGGCAGGGAGCGGGGTGCCCGCGGCTGCACTCACGTCGGCCTGGGGGTTGGCCTGCCGGTTCACCCGCGTCTTCCTGGACGTGTAAAGCTCTGGTATCCGATACATGGCCTCACCCAGCCGGTCTCAAGGCGTCGCCCAGGCAACGCGGCCCGAGGCTGGGGTGGGGTGGGGAGGCCTGGGGGGCAGGGTACTGGGGGCGAGAAGGGGAGCCAGACACTGCTTCCGCCGCGGGCGGGACGGGAGGGGGCGCCCCCCTAGGGTCGGGAGCCGCGGGGGTGCCCAGTTGCTAGGTTCGCAGCCTTACAACCTTTACTATGATAAAGCTACGGGGGCTTAAATCTAGGCTCTGGGCCTTCCAACAGCGATGGAAACCACTTGTTTTCTTTTGTAATTAGGGTAACTAGAGTGGGTTCCTTAGGGAAGATGGATGTGTACAAACTTCAGTAGCTAAACTAGATTTGAGTTCAAATCCAGGTGGGGGCGGGGTGAGGGCGGGGTGGGTTGGGAGGAAGAGAAGGATTAGCACTAAAAGCTTGGCTCTACGTAGATAGTTGTGGAAATTGGGACAGTTGATCCTGTCTCCGAAAAATACCCAAGTGTTGATTTGGGGGGGAGGATTATGACGATTTTTAAGGAGAGTTATGTGTAAAGCATTACCTTTATTTAGTGTTGCTCAAAGAATCTGTTTTCTGTAAATGGATATTCAGCTGATCTTTTTACATTTACACTTTCTGAATTTTTTGTCATGTAACTCCTTTTTACAACTGAGTTCATAGCAGATTTTGATGTTTTCTTTCCAACACTAATGTGAACAATGATAACCAATACCTGACTGGGAGACAGTGATAGCAATTGCCCATAAGCTTTAAAATATGGCATTCAAAATATGGGTATAGATAGATAGTTGTAGACATCCCACTGCTTCCACCTACCCCCATCCTCCCAGTCTCACTACCTAGTAACACAAAAACACAGGTTATAGTGACAAAAATTTCAGTCATCTAGATTCATGTTCCACTCACTTAACTCCATTGCTGATAGCTGTTGCCTTTGGTTCAGTCTATGGAAATGGGCAATCTGTTTTCAGGCAGTGGTATCAAGGCTAACTTATTATGACTCACTTGAAAAGGACTAAGGATATCCCAGTCACACCAACAGCTTTTCACCCAAACAGTGTATATAGTTTGGGGGGCAAGGGAAGGGAAGCCAGAGAAATAACGAAGTTCCAAAAAGGTCTGAAAAAAAACAAGAAATCTGGATGGAATCCAGAATCTTCATTTCAGTCAACCTCTTCAATTTATCTTAATGAGTAAAGAAATTCAAATAGAAAAGCAAGGGTCTTTTATACCTCACCAGTTTCACTTCAGGCTAATAATGTACAAAACTAAGGTAAAGATCAGAGAATCCAAAACAATGACCTATATAAAAGTTACATGACAAGTTCTTCACATGTACAAGAGGGACTTAATAAAGGAAACCTTTGATAACTCTGAAGGGACCATCTTACAACTAACTACTTTATCACCATGTCTTAACAAAAGGGAGTGGGAGATTTTTGTATATATATCTATCTATATATATATATAGATATATATATTGGAGTGGGAGATTTTTATTGCTCTAAATTATTTAAAAAGTGACCCATTCATTTCTTAGATATTTTTTCACCCAATTAAGCTTTTTAAATGGCATCAGAAACTTACAGCCTAAAATGGAAATTCAAGTTTCTCTTAAAAAATTCAGGATGTTTGGCCCTCCCTGGTGGTGCAGCAGGTTAAAACATAGCACTGAGAAACTAAAGCCACTTCCCCATGAGTTCGATTCCCACCTGCCCCGGAGGTGACCACATGGTGTGGCAGACCTCTCCTGGCCCGCCCACTGCTCCCCTCAGCAGTGTACTTCGTTGATCTACCTATTCTGCTCCCCACTCTGTCTCTGGTGAAGCCTCTCACTGCCCCTGAGCCTCTGGCCTGTACCCTGTTCTGTATGCACAAATAAATCTTAAAAAAAAAAAATTCAGGATGTTATAAAGTAGGTATAACATTAACAAGAATTCCAATTATGCTGTTAGGGAATGTGTTGTATTTTTTTTTTCCTAATTAAGAGAAACTTGCCAAGTTCGTGTAAATAAGAACATATAACATAAAATTAAGTGGCTGATTTCAGATTTTAGGCCCAAAACATTAACTGTATATAATGCATGTTTATACTATGAAAATGTCATAATAGATTTTTATAGTGTTATTATTCTACCTTTAAAAACATGTAAGAAAACAATGCCAATTTTTAAAGATTTATTTATTTGTGCATACAGAACTGGGGTACAGGCCAGAGGCTCAGGGGCGGTGAGAGGCTTCACCAGAGACAAAGTGGGGAACAGAACAGGCAGATAGACAAAGTACACTGCTGAGGGGAGCAGTGGGCGGGTCAGGAGAGGTCTGCCACGCCATGTGGTCACCTCCTGGGCAGGCGGGAATTGAACTCATGCGGAAGCGGCTTTAGATTCTCTGCAGTGCTTTAACCCGCTGCGCCACCAGGGAGGACCGCCAATTTTTAAATTAGCAACTTCATTTTTGGTTATTTCCTAATCTTCACTTCATAACCTAATCTATGAGGTGAAAGAGGTAAAGGAGCTTGTTATGAGTTCTTGATTTAAGAAAGATATCTCAACGTTATGACTCTATTAAATTTCAGAAATACATATATTCTAAAATATTTTCATTCCAAGAACTTACTCTTTTCTCTAAAGATTCATAATTTTTCTTCAAGGAATGAAATTCTTTATCTAATTTTAATGCTAAGGATAGTCCTCAAAAAGTGTTTCCTTGGGTCTTTCTGCTGGCGCAGTGGGTTAAAGCACAGCACTAAGAAGCTAAAGCTACTTCAGCATGAGTTCAATCCCCGCCCCACCCCATGTGACCCACATGGCATGGCAGACCTCTCCTGACCCAGCCGCTGCTCCCCTCTGGAGTGTACTTCGTTGATCTGCCTGTTCTGCTCCCCATTCTGTCTCCAGTGAAGCCTCTCACTGCCCCTGCACCTCTGGCCTGTACCCCAGTTCTGTATGCATAAATAAATAAATCTTTTTAAAAAAGTTTCCTCATACCTATGTATACATTAAATATACAGAAGCAAATTGCTCTTTAAACCAAAAATTCTTTTAACTGTCCTCTGATGTATGGAATTGAGTTATATTAAAACTTCTATTTAATTCCAATGTTCAAAAGCAATGTTCACAACTTTTACAAACTACATTAAAAGTAGGTGAATTGAATGCCTTATCAAAAGGCCAGTATTTGAACTTCACAGAGATCTTTTGATTTTGCTAGACAGCCAAATTACACTTCTACTTGATACTACATAGGTTAAAGTCTCCTTAACATATTGAATAGGCAATACATTAAATATCCATAATGTATGTTGTTTCAATATGTAAGCACTATTTCTCCTAAATGTACATGTTTTCGTGAGTATACACATAGCAAACACTATTCAGTGAGCTTGTTTTAAAATTTCACTTATCTCAAACACTGAACAACCTGCCGTGCCTTGAGAGGTGACTCAATTTATTTTTATTTATTTATGCACACAGAACTGGGGTACAGGTCAGAAGTGCAGGGGCAGAGAGAAGATTCACCAGAGACAGAGTGGGAGCAGAACAGGCAGACTGATGAAATAACCAATGAAGGGAGCAGTGGGCCAGACAGGAGAGGTCATGTGCTGTGCCATGTGGATCAGAGGCTGGGGCTAGCTTGCAGTACTGTGCTTTAACCTCAATGGGCCACCAGGAAGGGCCAAGAGGTATCTAGATCTATTACCTCCAAACAGGAACAACTATACTTATCAGGTTTTCAGCAAAGAACTTAAATTCCTATTTTTATGTAATCTACTTTTCAGTCCCTTAGCATTCTGTACCTACTTTATTTGCTTTAGTCAGGACCACTACTAGTCCCTAGCATAACTCACTACTTCAAGTTCAAGTGATGCTATAATAATTATTTCTTAAACTGTTAAGTTAGCCTCCTCTTAACATCAAATACCTTTTCCATTGTCATTTGACTATACCTGATCTAACATCTGCAAAGGCTGTTCCCAGGAGTTATCTGATTACATTTCAGCTGAACTCTGGAAACAATGAATGGTGGCTTTATCTTAGTAATATTCAGATATAATGGAAATTTGAGAAGATAAAATAAAAAACTCAAGGAGGATGGCAGTTTTACAAATTACTATCAAAATAACAGAAAATTAAATATCTATATGGCTATTGCAGCAAGTGATCAGAAGCAAGCCAACAGATCAGACACACTAGCACTGGTCATTTTCCTGACACGTTAGAAACTAATCCTTCTGACGTAAGGTTAATTGAGTCATTCCTATTATCAAATTGCTTGTACAGAAAGACTCCATTTTTTCTTGAAGTCAGAGCAAGGATTAACATTAACAAGAGTAATAAAGAGGTTAATAGAATGGGTATTATCTTGGTAAAAAAAAAAATATATAAAACATCTCTTCACTTGATTCTGTCAGAACCAAGGGGGTTTGTTAAATATTTATGTGATGCTATCTGCTGTCAATGAAACACCCTAATGCCTCAGATGTGGAACCAGCACTGAAAAACCCAAGTTATCTTCACCTTTTCAGAAGGTAAATAGCAATTACCTGTACAATATTTTATTTTAAAGTTTATTTTGAAGCAATTTCACAATTGCCTATCTTTCTTCAAATCCAAGTGAAAGTTGTTAAAGAAAAAATATGTACCTAAGAATCAGCCTTTTGTGTGAGGTCATTAATTACCAAAGTTCAATATTTTTTTTAGCTAATTTGTTCTCTATTTTTTAAATTATTCATACTATTATTTTGAAAATTAATCTCTGCATGATATAAGAAAGCCCACTAGTAAATTTAAAATATTACTCCCATAATTCACAATCATCTTGTGAACAGTATGAAGTAAATCTACATCAGATAGAGCAAAATGTTTATGTGCTGTGAAAACATTAGGTTAACTATTCATTTCCCACTCAGCATTACTGAATTTCTCCCAAATTCTACCTAAAGAAGTCAAACAAAAGGGCTATTCACTAAAAAATAAAACATGGAACTCCTTTCCCAAAGATGTGATTTCAGCTCAGGAAAGTGGCTCCTATGTGGGTCCCAATATTCTGATCTGTAAAACCTTCACATTAGATATATTGGTAATAAATGGGGATTAACAAATTACAGGACTACCTTGTAGTTTGTATTTCTCAAAAATGATTTTAAGGCATGTATTGTAAAAACATATGGTCCTCAAATCAGAAACAAAATCTAGAGTATCCACTCTCACACATAGTAATTATAACTGCTAGAAACATGCCCTTATGCCATTTGCATTAGCTCAGAAGTTGAGTTGTTTTACTAGAAAATTAAAGTTAAAACAACTCGGACTAAATCTGGACCCTTGATAGTAGGTGGCTTTTAAGCTTACCTGCTGGCTTTTTTCATATTACACATCTGTGTTTTTGTTTCATCTTACCTTGTGCCCCAGGGGTCAGGTACAGGGTCAGGTGCTAGCCTTTTCAACCTGCTTTGCTTACAATTTGTCTCCAGCTACGTTGGGCAATTATCAAAGACAACTCCTGTCCCAGCTTTTGTAGGTTAAGAGAAAGTATCATTGTACACTTTGACCCAGAATACAGCTTGTATTGTGCTGTATAATGTGAATATTCAGGCAGACTGTCACTTACACCAAACTTTAGAATTTGGGGTACACTGGAAGACCCCAAGTGTGGTTTCTGTAAAGGGCTGGGGGGATTTACCCAGATCTTCTCCCCGCTAAGTTGCTGGTAATTCAAAGCAGGAACTCGTCTGAGAATTAGACAAGATTGAGTTAAATTTCATATTATACTATTATCTTATTTAACGACCTAGATGTGTAAAACAGTGAAAAGGGGAAATTGAAGACTCCAAGACAAATTTTTTTGAGATCAATTTCAGCTTTACTTCAAGTTTGTACCTACGCATTTGTTTGCAAAAGATATGCCTGTCCTTATTAACATTACTGCAGTGTTCACTTTATAGTACATAAAAATAAACAATTCAAGCTTCTATATATTTTGTTACCAAGCTTCCACAGAACGTGCCCAAACTTCAGGTTTCTCACTCATTTCAAACAAATCTCCATGCACAAACTAAGCTAAACAAAAAATGCTCAATTCAGCAAACACGCAAACTGCATTAAAGAGAAACCTCAAATAATGTTTTTAAAAATCAAACTTTAGAACTAAGCTTTTATAATGAAACTAAGTTATTGCACCTTTCCTTTCACATGCCTACACGGGTCTTAAAGACTCCCTACTATAGATTTCGTACTTGGCACAAGGACATTCAAAGAAAAAACAAAAACAAAAGGGAAAAAAACAGAGAAAGGAAAAGAAGTTTACGTTGACTGAGTGCAAGCTTAGTCCACCTCCTCGATGGTCGGTCCCCCGGAGGCTCCCGAACCGCCGCCGCCAGGGCCACCTTGGTAAAGTTTGCTGATGATGGGGTTGCACACTCTTTCGAGCTCTTTCTGCTTGTGTTCGTATTCATCTTTCTCAGCCATCTGGTTTCGGTCAAGCCAGTTGATCACTTCCTGACACTTGTCGAGGATCTTGTTTTTGTCCTGCTCGCTAATCTTGCCCCTCAATTTCTCGTCTTCCACGGTCTGCTTGATGTTGTAGGTATAGGATTCGACCGCGTTTTTAGCTGCGACCCGGTCACGATTGGCTTCATCTTCTGACTTGTACCTCTCTGCCTCCTGCACCATCCGGTCAATGTCGTCTTTGCTCAGACGACCCTTGTCGTTGGTGATGGTGATTTTGTTTTCCTTACCGGTACTCTTATCAGCGGCTGTGACGTTGAGGATGCCATTGGCGTCGATGTCGAAGGTGACCTCGATCTGGGGGACCCCGCGGGGCGCTGGGGGAATCCCGGTCAGGTCGAACTTGCCCAGCAGGTTATTGTCCTTGGTCATGGCTCTTTCACCTTCGTACACCTGCACCAGCACGCTGCTCTGGTTGTCTGAGTAGGTGGTGAAGGTCTGCGTCTGCTTGGTGGGGATGGTGGTGTTCCTCTTGATGAGTGGGGTCATGACACCGCCAGCCGTCTCGATACCCAGCGACAACGGAGTCACGTCGAGTAGCAGCAGATCCTGCACATTCTCTGACTTGTCCCCGATGAGGATGGCTGCCTGCACCGCAGCTCCGTAGGCCACCGCCTCGTCAGGGTTGATGCTCTTGTTCAGCTCCTTGCCATTGAAGAAATCCTGCAGCAGCTTCTGGATCTTGGGGATGCGGGTGGACCCGCCCACTAGCACGATCTCCTGGATCTGGCCCTTGTCCAGCTTGGCGTCACGCAGCGCCTTCTCCACCGGCTCCAGGGTCCCACGGAACAGGTCGGCATTGAGCTCCTCGAAGCGGGCGCGGGTGATGGACGTGTAGAAGTCCACGCCCTCGTAGAGCGAATCGATCTCGATGCTAGCCTGCGTGGAAGAGCTCAGGGTGCGCTTGGCGCGCTCGCAGGCGGTGCGCAGCCGCCGCACCGCGCGCTTGTTGGGCCCAATGTCCTTCTTATGCTTGCGCTTAAACTCCTCCGCCAGATGGCTCACCATGCGGTTGTCGAAATCCTCGCCGCCCAGATGGGTGTCGCCGGCCGTGGACTTCACCTCGAAGATGCCGTCTTCGATGGTCAGGATGGACACGTCGAAGGTGCCGCCGCCAAGGTCAAAGATGAGCACGTTCTTCTCACCGCCAGCGCAGCCCTTCTTGTCCAGGCCGTAGGCGATGGCCGCCGCCGTGGGCTCGTTGATGATGCGCAGCACATTGAGGCCGGTGATGGTGCCCGCGTCCTTGGTGGCCTGGCGCTGCGAGTCGTTGAAATAGGCCGGGACAGTGATGACGGCACTCTGCACCTTGCCCCCCAGGTAGGCTTCGGCGATCTCCTTCATCTTAGTGAGGACCATGGATGAGATCTCCTCCGGGAAGAAGGTCTTGATCTCTCCCTTGTACTCCACCTGCACTTTGGGCTTGCCTCCCTCGCTCACTACCCTGAACGGCCAGTGTTTCATGTCCGACTGCACAGTGGCGTCCTCGAACTTCCGTCCGATCAGCCTCTTGGCGTCGAAGATGGTGTTGGTGGGGTTCATGGCCACCTGGTTCTTTGCGGCATCGCCGATGAGGCGCTCAGTGTCGGTGAAAGCCACGTAGCTGGGGGTGGTCCGGTTGCCCTGGTCGTTGGCGATAATCTCCACCTTGCCGTGTTGAAAGACCCCCACGCACGAGTAGGTGGTGCCCAAGTCGATGCCGATGGCCGGGCCGCGGGCAGACATCCTGACTGAAAGGCAAGGGGCGTTAGACGAGAACACCAAGGACAGAAAATGCGCGGCGTCAACTAACGGTCGCTTCGCACCGCACACCGCGAGCACCACCAGCGTCTCCCCGCTCCCCCCGCTCGGTTCCCCGCTCTTATAGCCGCCTCCCAGCCGCCGTCTGGAAACTCCCAGAACCAATCCGCTCCCGGGATCGCCAGCTACAGGCTTGCCTGAGTCGGAGTGACCTGCCCGTGGCCCAACAGATTTCACGTTGGGCGAGGGGCGGGACCAGGACGGGCGCGGGGAGGCGAGGGGCGGTCGTTATGCAAATGAGGCCGCCCTAGTCCTCTGGCAGCGGGGATCCGCGCGCCTCAGGCGCCGCGTGCGGCTGGGGGCGTTAGGCTCGTGCCCGGGGGTCAGGTGCGCGCCTTTTCTCGCTCTTTGCTTTTTTAAAGGCGGGATTCGCGCGTGTCGATCGGATTGGCAGTGCATGTGACCAATGAACAGCGCGGATTCTCAAGTAGCTTGTGGAAGGAGAGACTCAAGCGCAGGGAGGGGAGACCCAGGCTTCGGTACCGGGGAGCTGGGCGGGGGGACCGCTGGCCGGATGGTCGCTAATTTCCCGAGGCAATTTTAGGCCCGTTGTTCTGACTGTCCCAGCCCGCACGTACCGGGCAGTTTACTCGGAGTTGGCGGCACGACGAAATCAGCCCAGGACCGGCGTTATCCTTCCGCCAGCGCCAAGCGGACTGAGGGCATGGGGCGTTGGCGTGGCCTGCGCGACTGCGGCTCTCCCCAGGCGGGGACAGAAACTAGGAGTGGCCGGGCGGGGACAGAAACTAGGACTGGCGTCCGCCTCCTAGAGTTTTGCTTTGCTAGTGGCCCAGCGTCTCGGCGGGGGTGCGCGCTCCCTAAAAACTGCCTGACTGCTGGAGCGAGGCGAGGCGCTCGGGCGGCCACGCACGAGCGGCTGCAGCTCCTCCCTCGCGCCCGCGTGGAAACTTTCCCTCCTGCACTTTTCCTCTCCTTGCTTATCCCGCCACTTTAAGCCTCCCGGCTTCATCTCCGTGTTCCCTCCACGACTCTTCCTGGCTTCTGTCAAAGTGCTCGCTGTGTGTGCGGACTGGCGTTCCCGGCGAAGGCGTCTGTCACCCAGCGACGCGGGGGGCGGCCTGGGCACCCGGCGTCACGCCCAGCACGGCTCTCCCCAGCCGGGGCGCGCGCTGCTGTTTATGACCCGGGCCTGTGGGTGGGTGCGCCCCTAGGGGAGATTATTTCGAGGTGGGTTAGAGGCGCAGGCCCACAGAGAGGGAGGTGACAAGCGGCGCAGGTACGCTCGCGTGTAGGAAATTGAAAGATGAGTCTGCTAGTACTACCTTGCGGGGTGGGGGGCGGCGAAGGGGCAGGATTTCACCACAGACTGCGTGGAGAGTAGAAAAGGCAGACTGAATGACTGCGGAGGTAAGAGGTGAGAGGAGAAAGCGCTGGGGAAAAGGTTCTTTTCTTACAGCTCTCGCCGAGTGTGGAGGCTGAGGCTAAGATTTAAGAGACAGTCGCGCAGGCTGAGAGCCGCTGAAGTGACAGGTCCCGAGGAATCCCTGCGTTCCTTTGAAAGTGACATCAGCCTTTACTGGACACCACGAGCTGTGGGGTCCTGCTTCTGTAACCACCGACTGGTTCCCTCCTGCCTTCCCCCCCCCCCCAAAGCCTCAGCGGGGTTTCCGGGGTAATTTAGTTCTCCTCCCAGCTGAAAACCTCGGTCCCGGCCTATCTGGCTGTGTAGAGACCGAGCTTTTAACCCTATAAACTCCAGCACACCTGGAACCAGGTGATGGAATGTAGAAACCGAGTCCTATAAATGAGCTGCTAAAGACAACCTGTCACCAGAAAGCCTTGCTGTTTCCCATGGGGGAGGGAGTGAGAAAGGGGGAGACAGCCAGAGAAATTCACTCTGTGATCTTTATTAGAGCGTGGAGTGTGTGAGAGGAGGGACCAAGAGGATGGGAGTAAGAGTTAAACCTACTTGCAAAGGAAGCCTGAAAGAGTGGGGTGTGGGGACACGGGAACGGTGCAGTTCAGACTAGGGGGTGGGGGCGGGGAAGGTATTTGCATAGGCTGCAGGAGGAGCAAAGATGAGATGGTGTGTGCACTGGGGCAGCTACAAGTTCCACACAGGCTAGTATCACTTAGAAGGTGGGGAGTGCACGCAAGAAAGTTTGTTCAGGTGGTTTGTTCAGAGCTTTGTATACCCCAGTCTTTGCCGGAGGTGGGGAGCAGGGGAAGGGGATGACCGCCTTTCAGTGCACTTGTAATAACAACTTCATGTGACTCAGTGCTGGAGACATGTTTTTGTTTGAGAATAAAAAAAGCTACCCATGATCAAACTCTGTTTAAGTTTCTTTTATTTAGTGTATGTAACTTCCAAATTTTCAAAAATACATTTGCTATTATTAATCTTACTGGCTAAATAATTCAGACTTTAACCACAATTTTCATCTCCTTTTCTATAAAAAAAAAGCTCAAGAAAAAAAATTGACTTGGGAAACCTTTTAAGAAAACAGATAAAATCAGAAAGTTTCTATTGAAGTTGTCTTCAATTGTGAGTATAGATCTTTTGATTTTGTTCTTGGAAGTTCTTGCCTTTTATGTAGATTTTTCTAAGGGAATTAGTGAACTAGAGGCAATGTAAATTCCTTGTACAACTGATAAATATGTTCAGAGATAAGGCTCCAGCTATAACTGATAGCATAAATAACCGAGAAAGTATTAAGATTTCTTGTGTTCAGACTACCCTCACACACTTAACCTCAAGTAAAGTAAGGTTGTAAAAGGCAAACGCCACTTCTGACATACACACATTAAAATTATAGCTTCAGAAGGGAATTATTTTGCATAGTACTGTAGTGGCCATCTAGTATATGCAGCTAACGACTACATTCTTTAACATACTTTTTGAAACCAAAATAGCAACTTTATCTACATTTTCATTAACTCTATTTTTTCTCGACTTTTTACCTAGTGAATTGGTGTTTTATACTTGAAATAATATCCTGAACCTTTTCCAAAAAGACAGTGCTTTCATTTTGACTGTATATGAAATAAGCTTTTTGCAGTTCTAGAATTTTGTACTGACCATTCTTGGAATTTTTACATTTTCCCTTATTTGTATTCACTTTTTAAATAATTAGTTCTGTTCTCTTTACTGATTGTAGCCTAGAATTCATTAAAACATAGCCCATTAAAAATTAGCAAATTTATGATAAATAATATTCAGCAATGCTACCAGTGATCCAGCAAAACAGGTAAATTCTATTGGTGGGATTGTAGATTAGTACAATCTGTCTGGACGGCAATGTGACAATATTCTATATTTTAAATTTGTCATACCCTTCATTTAGCATTATTCTTTCTGAGATTCAATCTAATGATAGAACCTATAGGTAGAATATATGAATTATATAAATATTAATTATCTATACAAATGAAATGTCTTAAACATCTGATGATAAAATGATTACATGTAGCAATCCTATGGTGAATTATGTAGAAATAAAAATTGTTTACAAGATTTTTAATGGCACACGAAACTGTTCTTCGTATAATTAAATGGAAATATGTGATACAAGACTTTTGTATTTTCTTTCATGTATGAAAAATACATCAAAACTGGTCATCTCTAGATCACAGGATTATCAATAATTTTTTAAATGTTCCTTATACTTTTATAATAGACTTTTTAAAAGATTTATTTATTTATGCATACAGAGGTAGGGTACAGGCCACAGGTGCAGGGGCAGTGAGAGGATTCACCAGAGACAGAGCCAGGAGCAGAATAGTACACTGCTGAGGGGAGCAGCAGATGGGTCAGGAGAGGTCTGCAGTGCCATGTGGGTCACCTCAGGGCAGGCAGGGATCCAACTCATGCTGAAGTGGTTTTAGCTTCTTAGTGCTGTGCTTTAATCCACTGCTCCACCAGGGAGGGCCCTATAATTGATTTTTAAAGCATCTGTTAACATTCAGTGAAACAAAGCTTGCTAATTCTGCTACTTTGCACAGAAATTCTGATTTTCAACAAGTGAAATGTTTGGCAGATTATAAATACTAGGAAGTATAAAACTACTTTCAAAATCCAGAGATTTAGATTCTACACAGTGTGGAAAAAGGAAGCACTGTAACATATGTCAAACCCGCTCTAGTTAATCACTAGCACCAGAAAAGTGCCTGGAACACAGGAGTGATTCATTAGCTAATTGTTTATTAAAAAGGACCTGAGGCATATTATTTAGCTGTGAATAATAATTTCATTTTTTCCTGTGTAAGAGGAAGTTTCGCTTCCTGTTTTATTTCTGTACTAAATACTCTCTCCCTGTTTTAGTTCTGTACTAAATAATACTGTAGAGACCAAAAGTTTATAATTAAACTTGGGCCTACATCAGTTGTAAAGAGTATGCTACCTTTTGAGGATAGACTACTGTGGAATAGTCTGAGTAATGTGAAAGTGAAAGACTGTTTTATCCATGAAAAGTCTGATTTGCTATGCCATATTGTTAATATTTACTAAATTCTGTAAAATGGCAATTTTGGTACTGACCTTAAGTGAAAATAATTGCTGATCACTTGGGGGAGTGATTCATTTTAAAAATAAAATGAATTGTTCTGGTAAGAAAGTTACTTCTCTAAATAAATTGTTTTTCATTTTGGAGAATGAATTAGTGTTCTGAAAAAGCTGTTTTACAAATATTTCTTTTTAGGGCTACCCTGGTGGTGCAAGGGGTTAAAGCATTAAAGCCCAGCATTATGAAGCTATCTGCAGCCACTGCTGCACTAGTTCCATCCCCAGCTACAACCCTCCCCTATTCTCCCCCCCCCAAATGGTGCAGCAGACCTGCCCTGTCTACCCAGCTACTCCATCAGCAGTGTATTTCAGTACATTTGCCTGTTCTGCTCCCCACTTTGTCTTTGGTGAACCCTCTCACCACCACCCCCAGCCCCCACAACTCTAGCCTATAACCCAGTTCTTGTATGCATAAATAAATAAATCTTTTTAAAAATTACTTTTTTATTTTTGAGGAAACCTAATTTTTTTGTTGTCTGTAGTTTGTCACGAGATTATATTTGTTCTATCATTCTATATTGAAAGAAGCCAGAATTTAACAATAAGAATTTTAGTTAATTCTCTTTGTGTACTTCTTATGCTGCCCAGGAATATTGTATTTATCTGTATCAGATACTTTATTATGTTGGTATTAGAAAATGGAAGGAATTATGACATTTCAGACAATTTCTAAAAAGAGCCAGGTTTAAAAAATATATAAGTAAAGTAATATGCAGACAGTTTAAGTTCTGAACACAGAGGAGGAAATTTTATTAAATAAAAGGTGAATTAAAAGAATATCCAAAATTCTTTATATAATTCAATAACTTATTCTATTTTATATTGATTTACAAAAAATCACATTATAGAATGCATATATATCACTTGTAATTATAATTCATTACATTTGATGTTTAGCACAGTCAAAATTTAAGCCATATTATTTTATAAGTCTAAATCTACCAATCAAAAATTATTCATGAGTCTCTATTATATTGATCTAGCACCTTTAATTATTGGTAATATTCTTTATTTTTTTTTAAATCCTACTTGTTAGAAGTCTATAGTCCCATAAGCTTTATATTCCCAAGAGATTAATTCTTTATTTTTTATGAGAATCTAACACTTCTCTAAGTCTGTATTTCTCTTAAAGTAGTTCTATTCATATAAATTTGAAGCCTTCAAATGGATTTCTCTTCTCCCTTTTCCACCCACTATCACATTGCCATTAACTCTGATTTGTTAATTTGATTATTATAATGAGTATTCAAATTATATCCTACTTTATAGCTAGAAATTTTAAGTGATTTAACTTCTGCATACCATATTGTGTACTCTCAGATGTCTGTGCAATACCTTATTAAAACATCTGAAGACAGGCATCAAAACAAAACAAGCATTTCTGAAAATGCATAACACCTTGAAATTGCAAGGAATTGTGTACAGTGTTAAATAAAACTACAAATACATTCACAGTAAGGATATAATATGGCTATCAAGATCCATATGTCTAAGAAAATATGGATATATATGTATGTATTTATAGTCAGGTTAAAATCATCAAATATTTCACTTCCCCATGAAAGATTTTTAAAAACATGTTAACCATTCTTTAAATACATGGTTGAATTTTACCTTGGAATTTGAAAACAGAAGCATGATGATACATATTAATAATGAGAATATATTTAACAGAAGCTCATTCTGCTTTATTATATTGCTAAATTCAGGAGAAAACAATATCTTAAGATACATTAATTTTGGTTGTCTGTGATCAGTGAAAAATCTACCACCAATAAAGTAAAATTACATCTGTTTTCCCTTCAAGTTGACAGATTTAAAAAAGAGCTTCATTGATATAAAAAATTAAGTTTGTGACTGGTATACAGGGTGAAAAAGGAAGACAAATGTTACTTTACAGTAATAACTAAATTCTGTTTTCTCAGTTTTTTTCTCTGTATCTACCTCTATAGTTATATGTTAAGCTACAGATTTTTGGTATATATATTTTAATTGTTCTACTGTATTTCATAAAATGTAAACTGTAACAGATTATTCTCAGAATTGTTTACACAGATATGTGATTCTCTCTATATATAACAGATTTATAGCAAGCCCTTTTATTTGAGAAGGGACCCTTGAAGAAAATTAACATAAAGTTTCATTTTAGTGTAGCTTTCATCACTGATGTCACATAAATAATCTAATTATTTTTGGCAGATTTTCCATAAATACTAGGAGAGTCACCATGAATCAATTTTGTCATACAAAGTAACTTCAAAGTGATCTTTACTGAGTTTTCTTGGATCCTTGCAACTGGAACTTTTGGGGTTGATGAGATTTGTCAGGAGGACAGAAATGATGGTGCCACTTCAGATCTGATATTCTTGGGTCTGGACTTAAAGATTATCTGTTGAAGATTGATTCTTCCCCATGTCCTCTCCAAATTCAGATCTCACTGCTCCAGAGGTTTAGAAGGCCCTATTTCACCACTGCCACACAGAAAAAGACAAAACTCAAGAAAAATAATATTACAAGTTGACTGCTCTACAAGATAAAGCAATTCTTAGTTTAGAATTTCATGTGGTATAGCACTAGGCCAGCATGCTGTTAACAGAAAAAGGAATGGGAACAAAAGCATAGTTCTTTGAACTTACGGTTATTTAATTTCTTCCCCAATGTAACTTACTGTACCCTTCAAATGTGAGGTGTCTTTACTACTAACTTAATTATTCAGCTTTAGTGGCCCTTTTTTCTTGCTTGATCCAAGCCTGAATGGGGAGGGTACGTGTAAGTATGCAATTTAAAATAGGAAGGTGAGTTTAGGGAAGACAGGCAGTTAAGTAGTGCTTTCCTTCAAATAAAGTAATTTTACAAAGTATTTTAACTTCCTAAATTTAACTGCAAGTATGATTGAATGGTGGAGCTAACAAATTTAAAAGTTCATGTTCTTTTTACTGAGTGCCTTTAGCCAGTTTTCTCCAAATATTAAGTGCTGTATATACTTGCAAATGAAAATAAAGTACACACAGAGGAGGAATTGTCCCTCATGTCAAACCTCTCCAGTCACAACTCTCCTAACCTGCCCCAGTGATTATAGGTGTGCATACTTTTTACAACAAGTTTTTACCCTTTTATTAATGGTCTTAAATTTTTTTGAGAGATTATCCCTTAAAATATTTTCTCCCAGAGAACATGTAAGCATTTGGGGAAAAAAATGACTTTTATAGTCCTTATGTTTAGAATTACATTTCTGTCATCTAAAAACGAGGTGCTGATTCTGGTTGGTATAAGCAAATGATTCAAGAATAAAAATAACATAGTAACTTCTAAAAGTTTGAAAGCAATTTAATAGACTGTCTCACCTGCCGTATTTCTTTCTCAAGTTGGTAAAAACAGAAAACTTTGTATATTCTCATATAAAATTAGCATCTCTACTTGGAAATAACATATTTTATATTTTTGTTCACCTTTAGTCCTAGTTTCCTGTACTTTATTACAGTCAATTCCCAGACAACTACTGAATTGTAATCTTCACACAATCTTGTCAGCAAATGAGTAAGATGAGAAATAATGAATTCCTGCCCCCTAGTGATCTGTGCTGGATTTTGATAGAAAGGATAAACAATTATGTCACTAATGGATCCCAATGTTTGATTTTGAATGTAATAAGGAACTTAAGTTGTTTAAAACCTATATGCTTGGATTTTTAAATGTAAAATAGAATATTTAAAAAGTTTAAGTCAAAGTCAACTGAGCATTTGCATATAAATGTGGTTCAAAATTAGCATGAGTTTACAAGCCACTATAATCACTAGTATGAGTATTTCCTAATAGTCACAGACACATTCTATATCCTTGCTTTTTTGTTTCTGCCAGCATATAAATTTATAACCATCAACAGCTAAATTCCAGTTGATTCTAGTGTGAGATTATACCTGTGTTACCAAATAATGGCCTTGTGCTGAACAATAACTGAGGGTCACCTAAATTGTGACATCATCCCTGGACTCTTCACTATCTTCTTTTAGTCTTAGTTCAAAACTAACATTTGGCAGATAGAGATCGTTACAATGGTGCTTTTACCAGAAGCCAGGCAATGGATTTGAAAAGGTAAAATATGATTCACTTGAGAGGAAGGTTATTTCACCTAAACCATTAAATAATTTCACATTTAAAAATGCCTAGTTTACACTAGCAATTTGTATTTTTGGTAAATTGAATTATAAATGACTAGAATAACCAACTTTTGTTTTTAGGCAATCTTATAGTACCCTATAAATTTTAATCAAACCACAATACGTTAATTAGGGATTTTGCTTTTTAGCCAAAGAAATGAAAATTTTCCTATTCACATTATTTGTTAAGGCAAAAAAACAGCAGCGTGTTTTTTTGGGTCCTGGTTTTCCTTGCAAATATTTATTTTCAAATGATTTCAGTTGTCTTCAGTCTCATGACCAATAAAAGCAAATGAATGATAATTGGTGGGGAAGTTAAACCAGAAACCAGGAATGGGGGAAGGGGGTAGGGAAGAGTCACATCCTAGAGTGCTTGACAATACCGAGTGTTTTAAGTTTAAATGAAGGAAAATTAAACATGTCAGCTTTAATACTTACTTCTAAAACACCATTCTGAATACCTATTCAAATAAAGGTATTTGGCTCCTATTTCACATTATTCTACATGTTCATTAGGTAAGTTACCTTACCAGGTACAGCAGATGACAGATGAGCAAGGAGCAGATTGTTTTATCCATGTGTCCCTAGGGCAAAAAGGCCCCCCCCCTTTTTTTTTAATACTTCCTGATAGGTACAGTATGTACTTTAGTGGCTAAGTAAAGGAATGTAGAAGTCATAAAGGTCTAGATTCAAGTTACAGTTCTAATATTTAGTTTCTGTGTGATCTTAGGGGAAAAAACTCAACTTCCTTTAACTTCAGTCCCTCATCTGGAAAGTTAAGAGTGATACTTACCTCATATAAAGCTGTGAAATTTAATTAAAATTACACGTGTAAAATATTTAATAATCTATAGAGTACAATGCTGTGGTAACAGAGACCCTTAGGATGAATGGGTCATTGGTTCACAAATCAATGCTGCTTCCAACTTCAGGTTCTTTATTGACACCAAATATAATGACTTTAGCTCCCTGGCATTTACCCTGTCACCCCAGTTTTGTGCTGCACCTCAGGTATCAAGGAGATGGGAGCCATTTCACAGGCTATATTCCCACAAAGCTTTGTTCCCACAAAGCCCTGGAATCCTACTGTAGTCACAGGATGCCAGCAGGGCACTGGCATTTATCAGCGAGCAGCATTTGTTGCAGAGGTGGGAAGGGTGGTGTGGAAAGATGAGGAACTGAGCAAATATATTAATGGCAAAAGAACAAGAATGGCAATTCATGATACAATTGTTAAAATTTAAAAATAGACCAAATTTCTTTATTTCTCAATTATGTGTACACCTACAATTCAGATCTTTTTTTGGTTGGTACTGACTTATCTTTTTGCTAGTGAAATGATAACAAGTTTTGTTTAAATACTATACTTCTTACACTGGTTCTTTAAGGGATTTTCCTTAAAGATTTTAGGGAAAAAGATTTTCCCTTTCCAGAGATCTACTAAATATGGAAGTTTCTCAACTAATGATGTAGAACATGTTTAACTGGATAGAAAATTTCTAACCACCAACAGTCTCTCTTCTCAGTTTTAGAATACAAAGTTGATATGTACATAACAATTGTTCTAAGACATTTTCTAGTTCTAATTGAGTCACCTTAAACAAGTCATTTTAACTTATGAAATCATTTCATCTATTAATCCCACCTAGAAAAACCATAATATTTTCTTAGAGTTTTATATTGTCCATATTTTCCTCAAACTGGGGTGTAGGTCAGAGGTGTGGGGGTGGGGTGGGATGAGAGGATTCACCAAAGACAGAGTGGGGAGCAGACAGAGAAATCTATTAAAGGGAGCAGTGGGTGAGACAGGAGCAATCTGCTGAGCCATGTGGGTGACCTCCATGGCAGGGGACTCAGGTCAGGGATTAACTCAGGTCTTAAGTGGTGATAGGGTGATAGCACTAAGACTTTATCCATAGGCCACCAGAGACCCCAATATTAGCCATTTTACTCATGTGTGCTCTATTATGTCTGAAATTCTTAGTGCTGTTTACTAAAGAAATCAAACATCTGAGCTGCAAGCCTGGTGGCAGGTTTGTTAGGCACTGATTCCAATCCCCGAGGATTCCTTGCTGGTAAAAGAAAGTCCTTTAAGCAAGACTGGAAGACAGAAAGAGGGACAAAATTCCAAATACATCTTTAGGTTTGGAGCCTAAACACCTAAAGTAGGCAGTACCATAACCTTAATTCATTGCCTTCACATCACTGAAGGGCAAGAATTAGGAACTTACAGCTTACAGAAAATGTGAGGTATAGCATGTGAATATAAATGTCTGTTAAATAAAACTAGAATTGTATTAAAATTAGTGATTGCATTCAATGCTTATCAAAATACTAAATTAAAGCCTCCTTTCCTATTTAGATAATCCATTCTACAAATTGGTAGTATTTAGAAACATGTTCCTTAAAGGTGGGAAAGCCATTCAATAGATTGTGTTGCAGATCACGGGGAAAAAAACAAACCCAAAGAAAAACACTAAGATACTATATAGTTTGGTAACTGGTTTCTGGATTAAAGGTCTTGTATCAGTTTAGTAATGTATATATATATATAGGTCATCTTTAGTGGAATTTCAGATTTAATGACTTGATATAATGTATCCAAAGCGAAAATAAATCACTTTTTTTGCATTTCTGTACATGGGTTTTTAAAAACAATTCTCCACTTCTCAAGTATGTTCTTGCTTATTTCTTGCAATCTGTACCTTTTCTTTTTAATATTGTACTGGCTCTTGTACTACTCCCACTCTTAATACCTTCAGTGTATTCCCCTAAATCACTAAATTCATACTTTTCTAACACTTCTCTTTCAACTAAATCTGCTAAGTCAAATCTCTTGGCAACTTGTTTTTTATTCAAATGTCTATAAAAGTATGAATTACATATTTTAAAATGATGTAAACAAAGAAGACTATTACTTTTTATAGTCAGAAAATTATACTTCTGAGTTATTTAAAATCCTTTCATTTTGAGAAAGGTATTTTGCCATTCATATTAAAAGACATCCAGCTAATAAGTATGTGTACAGTACATCAGTATTGCCAGTGTGTTAATTCATATGTAATTTATGTAAACCTTGTGTCAGCAACAACAATGCTACTTCACTAAAAGACGATAAATTATTTCCATTGTATGAGCTCTGATTTTTTTATAGTTCTCCCACTTTGTAGTCCTTTACAGAAAAAGACATGCTGATAAACTACAATTTGCTATTTCCTCCAAATCTCAGATAATGCAAAACACAAGACATTTTTTGCACACTCTACTTTTATAGAACAACCAGATTTGTAATTGATTTCTTTATTAGTTTTATCAGTATACATGGCAGCTTTCTCAAATCTCAAAATAAGTTCCAAAAGTATGTAATTTTAAAGGTGAAAAATCAGTTTTCTTCAGATGTCATAGTCCTAGAAAGCTATTAGTCTATTTATAAACAAAAATAATTGATAAACTAACACACTTTAGAAATCAGAATATTTTAAATTATTTTAAATGAATACAAGATATGTCTTTTAATTAACTATCATAGTTAAATTTAACATCACAAAGCAAAATGACTTGTCCCTACTAATTTCTCAAGTAGGGTAAAGTCATTGGGTTTTACACTTAATATAAGTTTTAAATGTGATTATTAAATGATAATATTTTATCAATTATAGGAAATATTCATTTATAGGAATTTCCTTAGGTCCATCAATTTTTTAGGCCAAGTTTGAGCCCATGTCAACCTTCAAGGTTAGATCCTGTGCACCTAACCTGCCTAATAAGCTTCTCAACTTAATATGAATTTCACTGAAAAGGGGAATAAACAGTGGCTAAATCACTGTTCAACTTATAAAAAAAAAAAAAGAAAGTTGAAAGTGAAGAGTGTGTAATTACTTAAAAGTTTAAAATTAGGAATGAACAATGTTGGATTTAAAATTTCACATAACCCTAAAAAAACACATAAAAATATTGAAGTGATCACCTTATTGATAAAAAACTAAAGTTTAATAGTCATTGAAGGGTAACAACCATTTGTAGTCTACATTTAAAAGTAATTTTAATCATAGCTAAAACAAACTAAAAACAGAGTTCTATTAAGAAATAACAAAAATGATAATAAACGTTTTATAACACCTAAGATATACTTAAGATCCTAAACAAAAATATTTAAGGTAAAAGGGTCTTGAAATTTTTTCCAACAATTCATCTTATAAAATCAGTTTCTAAATAGCTCTTATCCTTTGCTTTGGTGTTTTGTCTGCTATCCACTAAACATAAGTACAGTAGAAAATCACTTATGTTCTTTTCAAATGCTTGGCATTATAATGTGATCTCATATCTTTCCTCAAATTAAATTTTGCTCCACAAATTCCACACGTATACAGATGTACATCCATGTGCTGTTCCAACTGTTCATTATTTGGGAATATCTGAAAGCAGACCTGGCATATAGTCTCACCAGCAGATAAATGAGAAATCATATGCCGTACATGGTCATGTTTTCTGAAGTTTCCTTGATCACAAATGGAACAGACATACCTGGCCATGCCTTTGTGCATATCATTGTGCAGTCGCAACTGACGTTCTCTTAAAAACTGCTTTCCACATGTCTGACAAACAAACTGTTTCTCCTTAGTATGAACAGTATAGTGTTCTCTTAAGTGACATCGCTGATAAAACCCTTTCCCACACAGGTTACAAAAATGCTTTCGTCTGTGATCTCTTTCATTTTCTTCCATGATGGCACTCTTAAACATATCTTGGTCTAGGCAGCCAGACATATGCTCAACCACTAGATTTTCAGTTTCAAAACGCTGGCCACAATTAGGACATCGGAAAGGGCAGGCAGAATGTTTAAATAACTGCTTCTTTTGGATACTGTTTATCTGGAAATGATTGTCCCTAAAATCATCCAACATGTCTACGAACATATCTCGTATTTCAGACTGCTCATCAGGATTTTCCTCCATGTCCATCTTCTCCTCAGTATTCCCCAGCCCATTCATGGTCAGATCTTGGGGTTCTCCACACCTTTGAGCATGTTCCTGAAGCTGTCTACCCTTAACAAGTATTTGTCCACATTTACCACATGCACAGATATTTTCAATGTGTTTGGCTAGGTAATGAGATGAAAGGTCCTCTTCAGTAATAGTGAGTCCACACAGCTCACACGACGCATTTTCAGTGTCCTCTTGTACAGGACTGCTATTGTTAGGGGGCCGCATATTTTCTAGACCACCTCTCTCATCAGCACTTATTGACATCCGAGGCTTTAGAGTTTTCCTACCACTTTTTTTAATACTGACATCTTCTTCAACATAATATCTATAAAATGGCTCTTCAGGCTCATCTTCTAATTCGTCATTGTCAGTGGATTCATTGCAGTCCTTATCAGCAACTTTAATAATGTTAAAATCTTTCAGTTCATCGGTAGGAATATCTTCTGGCTCCATCTTGATGATGATTCTTTTTCTCTCAGCAGCTCTGCTTTTTTCTTCACTTCCTAGTTCAGACTCCGCTGTGCTCTTCCTGCTTCCAGTGGTTGAGGCTGAATCATCAGCAGTCTGACTTGTGTCTCCTCTGTACTTGTCTGTCTGTGCAGAAAATGTTTTAGAAGAATCCTTTTCACCAAACTCAGCTTTGATATTACTGTCTTTTCCATCTCTAATATCAACGATTCTGTGGTAAGATCTTGTGTTTTGGTATGAATGTCTGTTAGTACAGGTTAGCACATGCTCGTCTAGTAATTTCTCACAGCTAAAGCCAAAACCACAACTATCACAAGTAAAACTCCGTCCAAAGCGTCGTGACACACGTTCTTTTGGAGTAGATAATTTGGACACAGAACTTTTTTTACATACATCAAATAGTGGTTCAGGAAAATTACCTAATTGCAAAGACTCTTCATCAGCCTCTCTATTATGTGGTGTGTTTACTGTTGAACTTGGCTCTGCACACCACCTGTTGGCTTCACTGCCATTTCTTGCCACAGTATCTTCATACATTCTTACACCAAATATCATTTTGCTGTTCTGTTTGCTAGAAGCAGAAGAGGAACATTTTGAACTAGAACAATCTGCATCTTGTATGTCTTCTAAACAGTCAGGAACATTGTACAGCTGTAGGTAGTTCATTGCAACTTTAAATTGCTCAAAACTGGAGGGAGCCGTCATGATTTTCCCTAAATACATAAATTGCAAAATGAGATCAAAACACTCAGCACTGATTTTCATGTTGCTGAGATTCAATTGTGCAGTACTGTGCTGGTGGTTCATGAAAAACATTCTAAAATAGGAGCTACAGGCAGCTAGAACTGCTTTGTGCGCTTGAAAGTAAATGTCATCAATTGCGATACAACAGTCACAGAGAAAACCCCATTCCCTTTGGTTGTTTAGCTGCTGAAGGACGTAGCTGCTGTGGCTGGGCTTTGCCATCTTCTATTAATTAGAGACCTATGTGAAACAGAAATATTAAAGTCAGACAAGACATCAGAAAAGCTCTGAAAAAAGAATGACTTTGATCTTGATTTGTGACTTGTATGACTTTGCTATTACAATCCAGGTATGAACAGTTTTCCAGTAATAGGCAGTAATATATATATTTCATTTTTCAATTTGAGACTGAATATACCCTGCAAACTTCTCATTTCGATTTTAAGAAATATAAGCACAGGCACTCTGAGTAAAAGCCACTGTTTTGGTTTCATTACAGCCTGGGGTAGGGAAATAAATCATATATTAAACTTGAAAGGAATAAAGTCAGTAGTTTAAAAGGACTCGAAGGACACAAACAATGAAAAGTAAAATAGCAACTTAAAACTGAAGAGTTAGTGACTAGCCTGTAGAGTATTAGAAACATCTTAGGTGAGTGATCTTTAAACATAAGAAGGTATTTTGGTTATATTAAAAAAGAATCCATATCTTTTAGGTATTTGTACTGGATTATTTATGGATGAAATTTTCTGACATGTACATTACAATTATCCAATGGGGTGGGTATAGATTATGGATGATACAGTATTGGTCATTTGTTAGTAACTACTGAAGTTGTTAAGATTGGTTTAATTCTATTTTTGTATGCTTGAAAGTTTCCATAGAAGAATCTAAAAATCCTTAATAGATTATATGAAAGTGTTACTGGTAGGTTTGACAATTGTTCTTCTCTTGATTACTGAAGGAGCAATTAAGATTGTAAAGTAAGAATACTTGTATTCTATTACTCCCATACTTTTAGGCTACAAGGCAGTAGATCTATTTGAGGAGGATTATCTATCCTTAAGTTATACATTTCCTTCCATTTGTTAATCCTTTAAAGTCACAGCTCTTTCCAAAGGTAACCACTCCACACACTGCTTTATAAACCTATGTATCTTCTGCTCTGTTTGTACATATATATGTATAGTCGATAGGTATTAAGTACCTACTGTGTGTTAGGCAAATGCGTTGTTGTTTTTTTAACCTAACAAGTACCTATTATCCTAAATATGCCTTTCTGAAATTAGTTTTCTTAATATATGGTAGACACTAAGTATTTTTAATGTAGGAAGGTGACTTTTAAAAATTATATTTATTATATTACTAAGTTAAAACAATATCCACTTTTAGTTTCAATTTTTAATTCATATACATTAAGCATCAGAATCTAGCTTCTACTTAAAAACAAGTTCCTATACAATTTGAACATAAAAAGAACCTTTAACAAACTCCTCAGAGAAATGTTTACTCTTCAACCTTTAAGCCCTGTAATTAACGCAGTTATAAGTTTACTTATTTCTACTTGCTTTTAACCCACTTGTCACAGATAACATGTGGACTATACACCCCTTTCTACACTGCTGAAGACCCATCTTGTCTCCTCCTTCCTGATCTTCCCAGCTTTCCTGCCCAAATGCAAAGATTCCACAGCTAGGAAGGTGAGTCTGGCGAAATGTGTGCAAATTGCAAGGACTGTAAGATAAAGCAAGTATTTTAATAGGAACAATATTCTAATTCTGTAACTCAGTTACCTGTACCAAACCTCTGAGGAATCATGTTCACTATGTACCTAAACACAAAATGCCGCTTATTCATAAAGTTAAGCTAATATGTTATTTATGAAGATTGTAGTTATGAAGATTGTAGAAGATAACAGGTTTTCAGAATGTAAAGTCAAGTAAATAAGCCCTGACACAAAATTATGTAACAATTACATAAAACAAATCCAAACAACAAAATATTATTCACAGGATGAAAAAAATGAAACATACAAATATTTACCCCCAAGCCTGTTTTGTGGAGGACAAGATTCTAACGCCTATAGTTATTCTGTACTATTCAGAAAGACCTTTATAAGTAATAAAAACAAAGCCACAGAGGGCTAAATATTACATCAAAAATATTTTCTAGCAATAAGAATTGTTCAAAAATTAAACAAACTGGCTCAAACAAACTGGCTCGCGGCTAAGAAGAGCCCTGGATGGAAACAGGGCTGAAATGCTTCTGAGAGCAGTATGGTGGAGGATAATGGAAGACAGAGCTGAGTTCCAATCTAACTTTACCACCTCTGGTAATTTGGTTAGCCTTATTCACCTGAACAGTCACAGTGGGGACAATAATAAATACCTCAGTGACATATCAAATAATAGCAACATATAATAATAATATCAAACATAAGGATTCATAGCAGCTATGTTTAAATTGTACAGTGCTTGGCAGGTGATAATTAATGGAGTGACAGTGCTGTGGAGGTGTGGTGATGCTTACTTAAGTATCAGGAGCTGAGTTTGTCTAATTAACTTTCAAGTTTCCTTCCAATAGGAGTCCAGCAGTTTGGCAACCAAATTACTCTGTAAAAAGTTACAGGTTTTAAATATCCTGTATTTGCTTCTATGTTCACTGCAACACTATTTACAATAGCTAAAATATGGAAATAACCTAAATGCCCAAAACAGAAGACTGGATCAAGAAGATGTGATATCTATACACAATGGAATATTACTCAGCAATCAAAAAGACAAACATTTGCCATTTGTAGCAACATGAATGGAGCTGAAAGGGATTATACTCAGTGAAATAAGTCAGGAGGAAAAAAGAAAAATATTGGATTGTTTTACTTACTGGAGGAACATACGAAAACCATATAAGAGATAAGAAGAAAAAAAACTAGTAGGCAAACTATAAATTGGAGACTTTCAGCAGGGGAGGGGGAGAGGGAGAGAGAGGGATCAAAACAGGAGGGAAGAGCAAAAAAGTCTATGGTGGCAGTTCATGGGTGAATTGGTGGTGGTAATTTTATGGAGATAACACCTGAGAGAAGAAATCAAACACTATAAAAATGAACAACGAAACAACCATATATTCAAAAAGTACATACAGTGTGTTAACATAAAACACTAAAACAAGGACACTGATGACATTTCAGTGTATTACTATTTAACAAACAATGAGTAGTACTTTTGTGTACCAGGCACTATATAAGGTATTGAGAATCAGCAATAGCTTGGATATCCTGTCATCTCAATGATATACCAGGAGGATCATGACTTTTTAAAAGACTAGTGACCTTAGCTGCATATACCCAGTAAAGTGCCCCCCTCTATGGCAAAGGCAGCCGGCTGTAATGGAGAGTGTACATGCTCAGTGTCACTAGGTCTGAATTCCCTATGTTTCTGTCTTCTTCTCATAGAGCTGGAAGTTTAAGTACTGTGTATAAAACTAATACACTTCAGTTTCTAGGCTGACCTAGAATTGTCATTTCCTCAGTGTTATTATGCAAATGTCCAAGTTTTGAGTAAACCTGGTTTTAGGTCACTTTTAATAGCTGTAACTCACATATTAGTACCCGTATTTGTTCTTGTTATACTTCATTCAGAAACCCGTTTGTGTTATACCTCCTTCAGTTAATCGGAAGACTTAATAAGAAACACTACCCACCCCACCACCCCGCCCTGAAAAAAAAAGGAGAGCAGAAGACTGGGTAGAGGCAAGGGATCTAAATTTCTGTGAGACTTTAGCTTGTTTATAGTTCATTTTTATTAAACAATTTCATTCAGATTACAACAGTTCTTTTCAATATCCTTAGTAATGCTACCAAATAAAACCTTAGCAAGCTTTGTTATAATAAAGCTTATAAAGAGAAGTTTTAAATAAGAGACTTGATTATATTTCAACTGTTCTTGTTTCTATAAACGAAATCTATAATTGCTTTTGTGTTGCATCACTGGCAAAACAAGTTTATTACAATTAGAAGTCAAGCGCTGAGGCTGAGAGCAGAAACTTCAAATGTGATCAAAGCCAAGAGTCCTCCTATGCCTACAAGAATTGTATTCAGTTTTCCAGGAAGAAAAAGTAGTTAGATGAGGTAAAAATTTTTAGTCTGAAAAATTTACCAGTTCATCTCAAATTCAAGCACCAAGCACATTAAGCATATTGGGTAGTTTAGATATTCACAGACTTAGACTTAAAGATCTGATCTAGTCCAACATTCTTAACTTCATAGCCGGGCAAAAATCTACGGGTTTTGTACAAGGTATCAGGGTTACAGTTAACTATGGTTAAATACTAAGACTACACAACAAAAACACCTGACTACGGGAGGTGCAAACCACCCGACACTAGGCAACGTGTTCTTATATAAAGGACACTCAACAAGGACTGGGCGTGAGTCCTTTTACTCAGCACTTAACTGGCCAGGTGCACTTGCACAAGTGACTACCCACATCCCAACTCTATCAGCAACATGGTTTGATCTGTACAGGTACATCTAGTCTTATTTAGTAAACTTGTTCCTTAAATTACACTGTGTAAGCTATTTTGGTAAATTTCTCAGACACACTAAAGTTTCCAGAAATACTTTTCCTTAGCTGCTAAATCTATTAAGCTGGAAACAAGTTTTATTGGAAATTTCTTTTGCCCCAGTCTTGGTCAATGTCACACAGAGGTCTACAAATAAGTTTATAAAGTAACTTAGGGGGATTTTGGAACGAGTCCTTTTGGAGGCAAATAATGCCCCTCCCCCCACCTGTGCTATAGACTTGCGTTACCAAAAAGGCCCCTGACAACAGGAGCAGCCATGGTGGAAGTCTGCCTCAGTGCCTGGTGTCACACTTCCAACTCAGTGCACCAATCTCTGAACTATTTACAATATCAATACACACACACACACAGACATCTTTTCTTCCTACCTTTTCGGTGGCTTGTATGATTGAATGTAAGTGTATGTATGTCCATATGTATATAGGCTTTTTTTTAAAAAATAATATAATAGTTTATATAGGCTATCTTTTTAAGAAGTCTGAATTGTAATGAGGCATTTCTCTCATGTTTACAAAACAGAATATTATGAACACCTACAATGTTCCTAACACTGCATAACACACTGAGGGAGAGGGTGGAGATGGAGGAGATATAATATCAGAGCTAATTACATATGAGAGATTAAAACAAGAATCAAAAGTATATCAAATAACATTCAT